GGTTTTCCTTTATAGGTGACCTTTTTCTCTCTAGCTGCCTTTAAAACTCTTTCCTTGTCCTTGATCCTTGCCATTTTAATTATTATGTGTCTTGGTGTTGTTCTTCTTGGATCCTTTCTGTTGGGGGTTCTGTGTAATTCCGTGGTGTGTTCATTTATTTCCTCCCCCAGTTTGGGGAAGTTTTCAGCAATTATTTCTTCAAAGAGACTTTCTATCCCTTTTCCTCTTTCTTCTTCTTCTGGTACCCCTATAATATGAATATTATTTCTTTTGGGTCAGTCACATAGTTCTCTTAGTTTTGTTTCGTTCCTGGAGATCCTTTTATCTCTCTCTATGTCAGCTTCTATACCTTCATGTTCTCTGGTTTCTATTCCCTCAATGGCCTCTTGCATCTTATCCATTCTGCTTATAAATCCTTCAAGGGATTGTTTCACTTCTGTGATCTCCTTCCTGACATCTGTGATCTCCCTGCGGACTTCATCCCACTGCTCTTGCATTTTTCTCTCCATCTCATCCCATTGCTCTCGCATTTTTCTCTGCATCTGTGTCAGCATGTTCATGATTTTTATTTTGAATTCTTTTTCAGGAAGACTGGTTAGGTTTGTCTCCTTCTCAGGTGTTGTCTCTGTAATCTTTTTCTGCGTGTATTTTTGCCTCTTCATGGTGATAGAGATAATTTGCAGAGATGTTACTAGTGACAGCTGGGAGAGCTTTCCTTCTTGCTCGTTTGTGGCCTTCCTCTCCCCCTTCACGAGGCACTGGGTTCTCGCAGGTGTGGATGTGGTCTGGATGTTGTACTGTGTCCTCTGGTCTCTATTTTAGGAAGAGTTGTGTTTGTTATATTTTCATAGATATATGTGGTTTTGGGAGGAGATTTCCACTGCTCTACTCACGCCGACATCCTGGCTCCGCCCCTTTCTTTCTTTTCTTTTGTCTCAGGCGCTGGTTGCAGGGACCTGCCCGCAGGTTTTGCTTTTCCATTTCTCTAATATCCAGCACCCTGTGCACCTTGTGTCTGTGCTCCGGGTGCGGATTTCTAGAGCTGTTTGTTTAGCAGTCCTGGGCTTTCACTCCCTCCCCGTTCTGACTCCTTTCTTCCCACCGGGTTCTGGGGTCAAGGAGCATTTGGGTCCCGCCTGTCTGTGGTTTGTACCTTACCCCCTTCATGGATGTTGAGTTCTCACAGATGTAGGTGTATCCTGCCTGTTGTACTACATCCACAGGTTTCTCTTTTTTTGGAGTAGTTGTATTTATTGTGTTTTCATAAATATATATGTTTTGAGGAGTAGATTTCCACTGAACTACTCATGTTGCCATCTTCCCGTGATCCTATCCTCATATTTTTAATATGCATATTTTAACTTGTATGTTCTTTAAATTTGTAGCTTATTATTATCTACATCTTATACTCTCTTGAATAAGATATGAACCTTAGAATGAAATTCCTTTTAAATTCCTTTTGCATATTCCATAATGCATAGTTTCTCACTGTCTTCACAACTTTTGCAAGGCACGTGGTATCTATTATTTCAATTTTATGGGTGAAAGTAGTGAGATTTCACAGAGATTCTCCTATGCCACAAAGCAGGTGGATGAGTCTAGGCTTTAAAAGTAATTGTCTGTTCCCAAGACTCAGGGCTTTTCTACTGTACCACACTTCTTTCCTTGAAATAGAAAAACCTTTCAGAGCCCACAGAATAACACTTTGACAACCATAAGGGCTAGTAGGCATGGGACCTTTCTGAAACAACTGTTATCAGTAGTCATTTCTTCCTTGGGACAGTGACCCCTTTTTAGAAAAAATGTTCTTCAGTTAGCAAGGAGACGGGTTTAGCTTCATTATTCAAGGATGAACACCTGAAAAATGTATTAATTTTCCTACAAATAAGCCCTTTCTGGAAGGAAGTGGGAGACTGGATTTCTCTGATGAAGTAGAATTCTAGAGAAATTTGAAGATGGTCATTAGGAGGAATTGGAGTTGGCTTATTAGGAAAAAGTTCTCAATGTCACTTTGCTTCTCTTTTAAATTTAGCAGCAGCAGGAGAGTTTGACCTTGTCAGTAGGACCTTTGCAGACCATCTTCCCATTAAATCCCATAAGTGTTGCATGTGAATTATGAAAGGAGTGGCATAAAACTGGATGTTTGTGTGTATTTGTATAGGATGAGATACTTGTATATCTGTGTTTTGTCATTCATATCATTCATTCCAGTAATCTCGTTCCCATTTCAGCCTAGGTGGTCTTTTTATTCCCTTTGTGTGAATCATATGTGTACCATTTCTTTTTCCATTACTTCAGCATATACTTACTGAGCACCTCGTCTGCATTGTGTTAGTCTCCCTAGTTTGAAGTCAAATAATTCATATTCCTACCCTCATGGTAAATTGGGAGTTGAAAGATTGGTTAATCAGCTCTGAAGTGATATATAACAACTCTAGTAGTAGTATCTACAGGATACTTAATGGAGAGTAGAGGAGACATCTGAATCAGATGAGAACAAGAGAGGGTTTCCTGAGGAAGTAAATCTAGAGATGAATTTTGCAGGGTCAGTAAAGTAACTCATGAAGTTACTTATTAAAAGGGTGTTGGGTGAGTGAATAAGAATTAGGTGACACTGGGAGAAGGACATTTACAGCAGTGGTGGAAAGGTAGAAAGACATGAAAATTACGTGGTGCATTCAGGGACTCCTGCAGTTGAGAAGGCAGTTGAGTAAATGGTCGCTTGTAGGGGAGTAGGAGAAGGGGAGTTAGGTATAATTCTGTCTTTACCTCTCTGGATGATATCTCAGTTTATCCTGCTTTTCCATCCCACTGCAGTTTACCCTTCCCTGGAATCTGATGATGATGACCCTGCTTTGAAATCTCGACCCAAGAAAAAGAAGAATTCAGATGATGCTCCATGGAGTCCTAAAGGTTGTCCAGTATTCTTTCCTAAACTCTGTGGAAGTGATGAAGTGGAAAAACAGACTGGGGGTGCTTGGGATATTTAATAGAGGAAGACATGATTTAGTCACTATTTCTTTATTCATCAAACATTTGTTTAGTGCCTGTTGTGTTCTAGGCACCATGTTAGGTACTAGAGTGAAAATAATCAGTAAGACACAGAGTTCATACACTTAGTTCAGCAAAGCCAGAGGTAATGGTGCACGTTGCTTCTAACGTTCTATGGCTTGAGTTCACAAGAGGAAGATACTGAACAGATTTCAGCAAGTAACCTAAAGGCTTCTGAGAACATTCTGCTCCCATCATCTCAGCTCTTTGGTAATATTATTATCAGAGTAGGAAAATGATCGTAACTGTTGAAGTCTACAAGGCTCAAGATTCCTTAGACTGTCACCTGTACTGGCTGAGAGGCTATCTCTAAGGAAGAAAGAATGATCATGAGTTAAACATGGAATTCAGAGGATATAAAATCATTTTATTTATCTCATTGGCTGGGTGGTTTTCACATTGGAGGTTGTGTCAGTTAGCTTTTGCTGCTTACCAGACTATATAAAAACAGTGGCTTATAACAACATTTGATCATTTTTCATGATTCCGGAGGCTGACTGAGCTGTTCTTGTCTGGACTAGCTTGGCTGAGGCTGGGTGGTCAAAAAGGATCTCCCTCAGGTGTCTGGGATTTAATCTGGGGGGACTGGGCCTCTTAACATGTGATCTCTCTTGGACCACAAGAATGCCAGCCCAAGCTTTTTCACAAGGTAGCAGAAGGGTATCCAATAGAAAGGACAAGCTGCAGTGTGCAAGCACTTTTGAAGCCTTTGCTTGTATCATGTTTTATTGTTCCATTGGCCACAGCAAGTTATGTGGCCAAGCCTTGATTGCTGGGGTAGAAAAATAGATTCCATTTCTTGAGGGGAGAGCTGCAAAATCCTTCTGTTCATACAAGGAGATGTGAGCAAATTGAGCGCCATTACTGCAGCAGTCTGCCACAGAGGATATTAGGATCTGAGTACCTGTGGTTCCCCAGGAAATAGAAGGCCTGCCTTATTTGGCCTCTCTGGTATTTGCTTGGAATTGGAGGAATAGGGTGGCAGGGCTCTCTTTGAAAGTGTTCTTTTAGTGAGTCAATCAGGAAAAGATTGTTTTTAAATTCTTCAGGCCTATCTAAAAATTTTTCTTTTTCCTGTAGTTTCTGACTGATAACCTAATAGAAAATTTGGAAGATACAGAAAATAGAGGAAAGTATAAAGAAGAAGCCACCCATGATTCTGCTACCCAAAAGCAATCACTCTTAATGTTTTGACATGTTTCCATCTAGTCTTTTTTTCCTATGCATTTTTCTTTTTATGGTCAAAATCACACTGTGTATGCAATGATAGATCCTATTTTAATTTTTTTTTTGCCTTTTAATCTAAATAATGTCTATATCTGGTAGCAAATCCTATAGTACCAAGGAGTTTAGGATGAAATGCAATGGTCTACTGCATCTACTTTCCCCACCTCCGAACCCATGCCTAAGAGGCAACCTCATAGTTTTCATTTCTCTGGTAGTTAACTCTAAAACTCAAGATAATATGGCTTATACCACCATTTACTGATTTAGTAACTTCTGTTTATCCTTCCATTAGCTTCTGTCAGTCTCCCTTGAATACCCACTTTGTAAGATATGGGCATTAGTATTGCTGTCTGTTCTTCCTTCCTCCAACTTTCTGAGCCATACTTTTTCATTTACATTGTCCAGCTTGTTAACATTTACATCGTCTTGTGATTTACACTCTACATTCACTAAAGCTTGACTATAAAAATTGGAAACCAATAAGTATATCTGACCTTTTGAATTAAACAGTGTTATAAGCATGTCCCTGTACCATCGTTCATAACTAATATATATATGTACTTTTGTTTATTTTGGTATCATTAATGTACAATTACATGAGCAACATTATGGTTACTAGATTGCCGCCATTATCAAGTCCCCACCACATACCCCATTACAATCACTGCCCATCAGAGTAGTAAGATGCTATAGAATCACTATTTGTCTTCTCTGTGCTATTCTGCATTCCCTGTGCCACCCCCCACATTATGTGTGCTAATCATAATGCCCCTTTTTTCCCCTTATCCCTCCCTTCCCACACATCCTGCCCAGTCCCTTTCCCTTTGGTAACTGTTAGTCCATTCTTGTGTTCTGTGAGTCTGCTGCTGTTTTGTTCCTTCAGTTTTTGTTTTGTTCTTATACTCCACAGATGAGTGAAATCATTTGATACTTGTCTTTCTCCACCTGGCTTATTTCACTGAGCATAATACCCTCTAGCTCCATCCATGTTGTTGCAAATGGTACAATTTGTTTTCTTCTTATGGCTGAATAATATTCCATTGTGTATATGTACCACACCTTCCTTATCCATTCATCTACTGATGACACTTAGGTTGCTTCCATTTCTTGGCTATTGTAAATAGT